GGAAAATTACGTGATATGGGAAAATATTAACAAAAATCACAAAAATTTCAAAAAAATCACAGAAAATACATTAATTATTAAAAAAATTGAGAGAAGAATTTTAAAATTAGAAAAACAATCGGGTATTACGGAAAACAATGAAAATTATTGAAAAAAATTACGCGAATTTCAAAAATTACGTAGAATTGCAAAAAATTATTGGAAATTACGTTTTACGAAAAAATAATAAAAATCACGAGAATTTCAAAAATAACGGAAAGGACCCCGCAATATTCAAATGGAAATTGGCTACCCGTGATATTTGGATGAAATTTAAACATGTTATTGGGGATGCCGTAGGCAACATTTTTTACCATGGGCACAACCCTGTATATATCACAGGTGAGGCGTGATTAGCTGTCAAATATTGGAATCTGATATCCAAAAGCAGAGTAACTATGGCAGATTTTGATGAACAAAAAATCTATTTCTACTAAGTCGACCAAGTTAAGTCGAAAAATGTCAACCATTTTAACACCTGTCAAAACCCAGCCAAACGGCACCACTCATCTTTTCCAGTTTTCAATATTTTATGTTGTCATTCGACATTTTCAACTTATATGTAAATTCTGAATTCAAAAATTGAAAAAAAAAATGACAGCTGTCAATATATGACGTGCATGAACTTTGTTCAATGTTTTATCACCAATAAACTACCTTAAAACGAGAAAGGACCAGATTAGAGTATTTTTTTCTACTAAAATTTTTTTCTACTACAAATTACAGGTTTTGACAGTTCTGTAATTTTTTTTTTTCAATTTTTGAATTTAGAATTTACATATAAGTTAAAAATGTCAAATGACAACATAAAATATTGAAAACTGGAAAAGATGAGTGCTGCCGTTTAGCAGGGTTTTGACAGGTGTTAAAATGGTTGACATTTTTCGACTTAACTTGGTCGACTTAGTAGAACTGGATTTTTTGTTCATCAAAATCTGCCATAGTAAAGTCCGACTCTGCTTTTGAATATAAGATTCCAATATTTGACAGCTAACCACGCATCACCTGTCATATATACAGGGTTGTGCTCATGGTAAAAAATGTTGCTTACGGCATCCCCAATAACATATTTAAATTTCATCCAAATATCACGGGTAACCAATTTCCATTTAAATATTGCGGGGTCCTTTCAAAAACTTACGGGAATAATTATCAATATTGAAAAATAAAATATAGAAATTACGGGAATTAAAAAAATATTAGAAATCACGAAAATCATAAAAAATTACGGAAACTAGGAAAATCATAAAAAAAATTAGGACAATTAGAATAATTATAGGAATTGCAAAAATTACGGAAATTACGAAAAATTGAAAAAAAAATATCGGAAATAACACAAAAATTAGTAGTCCAAGCAATAAAGGAAGTTTACCTCAACATAATTAGAAGTTAACATTTTTTGGGGGCGATCGGTTCATTTTCATGTGCTTAATAACATATTAAGTTTGCGACCTTGTACTTCCATAGGGTTTTCAGTTAGGGGTGGTTTTTAGGGTTAATTTGCAGTTTATGGAGAACGCTGCTCAAAAGGATGGTCCAATAGCAAAAAGTTTCAAATTAATGTTGTAGCTGAAGCTTTTTGCTATAAAAAACTCAGCGACAGCACCCCTCTATCTTCTATAGTTTTTTTTCTGCAGCGTCTTGAATAGCAGCATGTTTTTGTTCAAGGTCACTGAATCAACGTTTTGCCATTTTGCGCGCATTTGTTGCAGCAGCGGCCGAATGCATAATCCGATTTCAATTTTTCAAACACCACATTATTTCTAATGAAATGCACTCTCCAATGCTTTTTTGTTCGAATTTTTTGCTTGAAAATTAAGCGAGCACGGACTTGTCTAATGTGCGAGGAAGTTGTAAATTGCATCGAAAACTACCCCTTTCTTGCATTCACTCTAATTTCTAAACGGGGCCAAATATTTGGTGACAGTTTTCGACAATCGGCAGCCCATTTATTCCTCTCATAATGCCCCAGCGGATTTTTTTTTTCGTTAATCACTTAATGACTTATTGGCCTGAAATCGTCGCGCGGGATTTTTCAAAAAGTAAAAAATAATTAAAATTGTCGCATAGCGCAGAAATTTGGTACGATGGCCTTATTTATTGTTCTTACGAATATACTGCAATTTTAATTGCTTCACATGATATAAAATTGCAGTATAATCATGAGAACAATAAATAAAGCCATCGTACCAAATTTCAGCGCTATGCGACAATTTTAATTTTTTTTTACTTTTTGAAAAATCGCGCGCGACGTTTTCAGGCCAATAAGTCATTAAGTGATTAACGAAAAAAAAAATCCGCTGGGGCATTATGAGAGGAATAAATGGGCTGCCGATTGTCGAAAACTGTCACCAAATATTTGGCCCCGTTTAGAAATTAGAGTGAATGCAAGAAAGGGGTAGTTTTCGATGCAATTTACAACTTCCTCGCACATTAGACAAGTCCGTGCTCGCTTAATTTTCAAGCAAAAAATTCGAACAAAAAAGCATTGGAGAGTGCATTTCATTAGAAATAATGTGGTGTTTGAAAAATTGAAATCGGATTATGCATTCGGCCGCTGCTGCAACAAATGCGCGTAAAATGGCAAAACGTTGATTCAGTGACCTTGAACAAAAACATGCTGCTATTCAAGACGCTGCAGAAAAAAAACTATAGAAGATAGAGGGGTGCTGTCGCTGAGTTTTTTATAGCAAAAAACTTCAGCTACAACATTCATTTGAAACTTTTTACTATTGAACCATCCCTTTGTGCAGCGTTCTCCATAAACCGCAAATTACCCCTAAAAACCACCCCTAACTGAAAACCCTATGGAAGTACAAGGTCGCAAACTTAATATGTTGTTTAGCATATTAAAATGAACCGATCCCCCCAAAAAAATTTCAACTTCTAATTATGTTGAGGTAACCCCTCTTTTCAGATCTCCGTTTCTTGGACTATAGGGAATTTGTTAATAAACGAAAATTAAGGGAATTGCAAAAATTGCAGAAATTACGAAAAATTTCGGGACTACCGAAAATAATTAAATTTTTAAAAAATTATGGAAATTAGAAAAGTTACAAAAATTACGAAAATTCTGGAAATAAATCACGGAAATTTATTAACGAATTGCAAAAATCGAAAAAACCTATAATGATTTCCAAAAAGTTAGAAAATAACAAGAATTTCAAGAATCAGGAATTACAATTACAAAAATTATAAAGACCGGGAAATTATAAAATTTCCAAAAACGTCCAAGAAATTTAAAAAATCACGACAATTGAAAATTGAATTGAAAATTACGAAAACTATCAAAGTTACGAGAATTATAAAAAATTACGGGAATTACGAAAAAGTTACGGGAATTACGAGAATTAGAAATTAAAGTTACAAAAATTACAAAGGCTTTCGGGAAACGATACAAATTTTGAAAAATGCCCAGAATAAATACGGAAATTACGGGAATTACCTACTAATTTTCGAAATATACAAGTACGTGGAATTAATAAAATAACGGAATTTTCTGAGAAACTACGGGAATTAAAAAATTACGAAAATTTGAAGAACATCAGGAATTGATAAAAAATTATAAGAATTATTTGAGAAATGACAGGAATTAAAAAATTTCGAAAGAAAAATTACGAGAATTACGAGTTTTCGAAAATTACAAATTTTGCTATAATGAGCTCTTTACTTTCTTCTTTTTTTAGAAAATTTTCACAATTTTCTTGCCAGTATCCCAAAAAAAAATCAAAATGTAAGAGGGTGCATTTTGTCTAAAAAAGTCAATTTCCCAGAATTTTTCCTGGAGTGATTTTTGACTGGAAAATTTTGAAATTTTTCTATAATGAGCTTTTCTTTTTCTTCTGGAAACAATTCACAATTTTCCTTTTGCCAGATTTCTAGAAAAAAAATTAAAATGTAAGAGGATGAATTCTCCTTAATTTTGCTTAAAAGTTAGTTTTTCAAAATTTTTCCTGGAGTGATTTTTTACTGAAAAATTTTGAAATTTTCGTAAAATGAGCTCCTCATTTTCCTCTTATTCCTGGAAAAATTTCAAAATTTTCTCTCTGCAGGTTTTCCAGAAAAAAATTAAAATGTAAGAGGGTGAATTTTTTTTAATTGCTTAAATAAATCAATTTTTTAGAACATATTTGAGATTTCAGTGGTAAAAAAAAAGAATTATCCTTTGTCGTTTGTACATGATATTTAGGGACACCCTGTATAATACGCAGTTAATTAATTTATATATTTGGGACTCTAATGATTTTGTAAGAGCCGGTATTTCAATGTCACCTTAAGATATAGAATAAACACAGACATTGACAACATTGTCTGACCTTGTTCGATGACGTCATTCTAAATATAACATAAAAACCCTATACTTTAGGGTGTCTTGATTTTAAGGTAATATTGTAATACCGGCCCCGGTTGAAAAATTGTGTTCCATGACGCCAACGTGCTCAATGAATTAATCAACGACAAATACTTTTTTCTAAATTATGACGTCATCGATGGCGTAAGTAAGTAAGTACAAAAACTGCAAAAAAAATAAAATAATTTGGTTGCACTAATTTTTTATATAAGTGTTAGGTAGTGCTATGGTGGGATGCCGAATAGGAGTGCTAATTTTTGCTTTAGGGGTGCTTAGCACCCTCCTAGTTGCGCCTATGCTCATAAGACACCCAAGTCTACAACTATTTGCACTGTAAAAAATATTAAATCTAGAATGTATAGACCTATTAACCTGACTGTTTGTTGTACTTTTTATCCCACAGTGTCCCCAGTTGGAAAAAGTAAGTGGTTTTGTGTGATCAGGTCTCTAACCCAAACTTGTAGATTAGCTGCATTTTGTACATTGTGTATATAATTGATAATTAATTGTCCATTATTTCAATTCAATACACTTTCAGTATTCATTTTAAGCACAAATTTATCATTAATTCAACAAAATACAGTCACTAATGGAAATTCTATTTATCTAGTTTCCTGGTGTCTTTCCTGGTTGACGCGCGAGGTGGCGCCATGCGCGGTTGCAGACATTCAGGAGTCAGAGTTATAGTACCGCCCAAGTGCGCGCATGCGCCCACTAGAGTCACTTGCCGTTACGTTAGAGCACATAGAGCCCCACATCCGCCGCCGTTGATGGAAGGCGAAGCTTTGGCCAGCCGGTTGTTAGAGCTGGGACCTGTTGGTGCTAAATTCTTGGGGTAATAATAATAATAGACACAATAAAGTTAATAATTTTGTATGTGTTTTTAAGGCCAGTCATCATAGAAGTACCCCATTTCGCCTCTCTACGCGGTAAGCATCGTGAAATTGTTGTTCTAAGATCGGAAAATGGCGAAACTTGGAAAGAACACACTTTGGAATCAAACGAGGAAGCCATTCAAGATGTTTTAAATCACAGCTTTGACGGTGAGGAATTGAGTCAGCTCGAAGATTTGCACACCAGCCGGATTACTAGGATTTTGACCAACGATTTCCCTCACTACTTTGCGGTAGTTTCCAGGATCAAGCAGGAGATCCACGCCATCGGTCCGGACGGTGGTACCGTATCAAGTACTGCTGTTCCTTTAGTCCAAGCTGTTTTCCCGCCGAATGCTTTGACTAAGAAAATTCGCGTTGGCTTACAGGTAATGAAAAATAATTTATAGGCTATTGGCTGATCTATTGCTAACATACTTGAACCCTTATACTTCAAAGGCCTGTTACTTTTCGGGAAATTATAGAGCATTTCATTGTTATTCAGAGGCTCTAGGCTCAATGCGAATTTTTTCAATGATCTAAAATTATAATTCAATAACTCAGATGGTATTAAACCTTGGCTGGGTTATCTTTAGAAGCAATGTGATGCCAGAAATCATAGTTAATTTCAGTTATTCCATTTTTAACAACAGCAATTAATTATAAAGAGAATATTCAATATAAAAAAAAATAGTGGTTGAATCATAACAGGCAAAATTATTCATATCACCATGAGTATTAACTCGGACAATAGAATAGCGCAACATAGTTCCTAAGTGGAATTTAATTTCACTTTTATTTGGAAACATTCTAAATTCAACACAACTTTAGGTCCTCTCCCACATTATAAAAAATTAAAAAATATAAATAAAAAAATTCATGATCTAGGTATAATGATATATTTGATGAGTATAAAGCTTGCGAAACATATGTAGGTGAAAATTTATATGGTATTGGTGCTTTCGACAATGATTTGGAGGAACCATAATGTTGTGCATGTGAATATAAGAAGCATATTCCATAACTTTGATGAATTTTTGGTCTTTCTGGAGGGGACAGGGAAAAACTTTGATGCAATAATGATGTCAGAAACACACAATTTTAATGATTTTAATATACCTCTGGATACAATTTTTTTTTTTAATAACAGTACACTTGACAGGTGTAATGGGTCGGTCATATATGTAAAGTCAGATTTGCTCTTGGACTATGAAGTGAATATCTGAAAATAACTTGACTACACTACAGAAAAATAACATCATAATAATATGTAGATATTTTTTCAACATACCGCACTTCCGGAGAAACAAGGTCATAAGTGTAAATTTTTCTAAAAATGAAATTATATTGTGAATATATTCCAATACCTTCAGACCATCTTATAGCTACAAAGACAGATTTGTATTTTGAAATTCTGCCTACTATGACAAAAATATATTTTGTATCGGTTTTCCAGTGATGTTAATGGATCAACAAAGATGCAAATGCATTTTATGTCATTAATTAATTCACCTAATTGAAAAAAATAGCTCAGTTATAGGGCAACAATAACATAATTGAAGAGGCTCTGCCCTAAAAACCTTTGAATGGGGCAAAATTGTAAAAGGAATTCAAAAAGCAAACCAAAGGTGAGCTATACATATTACAGAATCTTCATAAAAATTTAATTCGTCAGAATATGTATAGTTTATTGTTTTCGTTTTGAGTTGCAGATACTTTGGAAACTTTAAAAGCGTTTCTTCGAAATTTTACAAATTTGCACTTATGACCTTGTTTCTCTAGAGGTGTGATACAGATGTTTCGCGAGTTACAAGGAAGAATTTATAGAAAACTTTGACCTGATCCTACAACGATTAACAACCCAAACACAGTACAAATGTTGGCTGGAGATATGAATATCGATTTGCCTCAGATTCAGAGATAACAAACAGATATCTGACCATGATGCAAACCTATGGATTTGTAAGTACCTTCAATCAATAAACCGAAAGATGGATGACTGACAAACTTGTCTAGACCATTTTTTTGTTAAGTGTAGCAGTGAGTTGTTTGAGAAAATATATCCTCTTGTTTTCGAAAGTGAAATGACATCTCAACTCTAGTAATGTAAATATTGTGCAAAACAGAAAAACTTATATGTTCATAGATGATAAGAAATTTGAGCAACTGATATCAAGAGCAGAGTGAGATAGTGTGCTGGAAAGTCAACATAGTAATTTATGTACAGATATTTTTATAAATAAATTGAAGGGTATGATTAATGAGTCTACCAAAACTAGAATAATAACAAAAATATTAAATAAAACAAAACTATGGATAACTATAGTGGCCTCTTAACTGAAGATTAATAATTTAGGCGGAATTTTTAATCATGGATTAAATTCAAGATTGGTGCCAAATGATAGTTTATGAAAAATTAAGATAGGAATGTGAAATCCGTTTTCTTGTAAAATTAACCGTTCAGGTTTTACAGTCTGTCAAAGATGCAAAAAAGTCAGTTTTCAATTGTCAATATTTTCGAAACAGTTGAAGATAGGTATATATATATGACATTGTACATGAAATATGTCTAGAATCTTCTGTAAAATCCAGAAATGTCATAATATATATTGGAAGTCGTTTAAAAAACATAACTTTGTGTCACTACTAGTTATTGGGCCACTCTGTATACTGCAAAATAATTTAGGAATGTAGTGCTCATGTTTATCTACAAGTTTTGTCTTTAGTTTTTTCTCCGATCTCTATTAGTATAGAAGATATGGACCACCGCGCGCTTAGTAACTCACCTTGTATATGTAATATATGCTTTTCAGATATTATTGGCGAAACGTCATCCTTGGAAATTTGACAGGTTGACCCTCGTATAATAATGACATTTGATGACAAAGTATTTTTTTTTAATTCAGGGTTATGAAACAGAAAGCCGAGTTGCCAGAATGTGTAAAATATCTGAGCGGATTCAATCCCAAAATATTTTTCCAAGTTGATTATAAAAAAAGATTGGGTAATAAGTTTATTTGATTTATTTGAAATAAGATAAATCAAACATAACCATAACAGTAAGCTTAACAGTCTAAATATGTTTTCATAGTAACTTTTTTTTCGAGTTTGTTCCAACAAAAATATTGATTGCTGGTTGTAAAAACTAGCTTCACATCTACATTTAAACTATACCTACCCCAAATATCTGGTAGTTAGGCTTCAATTTGTATTCCCTGAAAAACCTCCTGGTTTGTTTTTTTTTTTTTCGAAATAGCCGTAACATTTTATTATTTCTTTTATTTTTTGTGAAATTATTTTGTGCATCTTGAATATGAAATAAATTTGAAAATGCCGAATTTTAAAAGCTGTCAATAGATTTTGCAGGTATGCAAAATACTTGGATTCCGTTTATGTATTGCACCATCGGAAAATGTGTTAAATTTGATTGGCCAGATAAGCCAGAGAATTTTAATACCGCGACACTTACGAAATTATGTAAAACACACTTCAAACTGTCTGGAATTTGACATATACTGTCATTATTTATTATAGGAGGGTCAACCTGCCAAATTTCCAAGAATGACGTTTCGCCAATAATATTTGAAAGATAAATATATAAATATGTTATGAGATTTTTAAACTATTTTGGATTTATTTTAATTCTGATTGAGGCAATCGAGAACGATGAAATCGAGATAAACGTTATTGATTTTGACAAATTTCCTATTCTGTAAGTGCAATCGATAAGTCTACAAATCGAGATAATAGTTATCGATTTGAACAGACCGGCAACGTCGCAAATTATGAATGACAACCACTGTCACCACCACAAATCAAATAAACGTCAACAAATTTGAATTTTAAAATGGATTTTCGAACTACAATAAGTAAAAAAGATAGTCTAACGAGCAGAGTTCACGAAAAATCCCAGAGGATATATTCTGGGATTGTATTTACTAACATAACTGTCAAAAAAAAAAATGAAATCAACCCAAGTGTGTTTGCTTGCATTTACGGGCCAATTCTGGATACATCTTTAAGCAAATCTATAACTTTCCATAAGCCTGTAGCTGCCTATAGTCAATTTGCAATTATGCACTTCCTGTAGCTTACAAAAAATCTTATAGAATCGTACATATTTCCAATTGGATGTTTGGCAATCAATGCGTTTTGCAGTGTCTATAGGCCTATAGAAATTTATAGATTTGCTTACAGATGTGCACAGAATTGACCCGTTAGTTTGAGTATCTTTATATGGTGGTATGGCCCACAACCAACAAAATGTCGATTTATCGATTTCTACCATGTCATCTAAGTTAGTATAAAGAAAATGATGTTCAGGTACTAAAGGTCGATAATACAGCTCAACATTAACATGATTGGTTAAATTTGGGTCAAAAAAATGTGGAGGAAAATTATTCGTTTGAGAAGAAGTACCAGCAAGGCAAGCTGACTAGATAGAAGAAGTCATCTGACTGTCTTAGTTTTTCTTCCGTCTTACTTCGTTTGTTCTATTGAAATTTTCTGGAGCTGGCTACCTATGTTCATATTTTTTTTTATTCGCTTTTTTCACCTTTTCCCTGCAAAAATTTCCAATGCAACATCTGATTTATTTGATCTTCCATTTTGGTAGTCTGTAGCCTTGTAATCCTCATAGAAGAAAATTTTTCAACCTCCGCGACTTGGGAAAAACGTAAATTTGGTGACGTCACACACCTTATAGCAGATATAAAACAAGCACTTGAAATTTCTCTTTTAAAATCTCTGACAGGCCAAATTTAGAAGATCTAACTAGTAATCCCAGGATAATTTCCAGCCAGCTCCTTCTTTTGTAACCTCTGCAATTAATATCTCGTTCGGTTGGTTATGTATGGATAAGGTACCGCATTTTTTTCTCAGCTTATTTTCTCTATTTCTAGGATCCATAATTCACCTTGTCGATTGCTCAAATGCGATCGAGAGCAGCCATCGCCAATCGAAATCTATTTCGATTTTTGTTATCGATTGTCGATAGCTGAAAAAGTTACGGAATACCAAATTTTTTCAAAAATCGATAATTTCGACAGTTTATCGATTCAAGTTTTCGATTGTCGATTCGATTTGAGTTACAGAATAGACCCAATTGTCGTACTTTTGGTACGCCAATGGGTTCTATTATTTCTCCAATTATTGCTCAATATGTACTGGACGATCTTCTTGAAAATTGTATTCCAAAATTATCATTCGAAATACCTTTTTTAACAAAATATATTGATGACATTATTTGTGCAATACCAGAAAGAAAACAATAGGAAATTGTTGACATTTTCAATAATTATAATCCAAATATTCAATTTACAATTGAAAATGAAGTTGAAAATTCTGTCCCTTTCTTAGATACAAAACTAATAAGAACAACAAATAATGA